TCACCGATAAGGGTTTAATCTCCAACATTTATAGGGAACTCATACAACTTAACAAAAGGAAGATAAACAATCCAATCAAAAAATGGGCAAAGGACCTAAATAGACACTTTTTAAATAGACACTTTTCAAAAGAGGACATTCAGAAAGCCAAGAGACATATGAAAACATGCTCAAAGTCACTAATCATCTGAGAAATGCAAATCAAAACAACAATGAGGTACCATCTCACACCTGTCAGAATGGCTATCATCAACAAATCAACAAACGACAAGTGCTGGAGAGGATGTGGAGAAAAAGGAACACTCGTGCACTGCTGGTGGGAATGCAGACTGGTGCAGCCACTATGGAAGACAGTATGGAGTTTCCTCAAAAAGTTAAAAATGGAACTCCCATTTGACCCAGTGATCCCACTACAAGCTAATATCTTTTTAAAGTATGACACTTTGTAAACACTGTGTAATATGAAGTGGAGAATTCTCGTGATCTGTCTGCAATGTGTTAAGATACTGATATTTATTTATCCTATATAATAAAAGCCTAATATGCTAAGTGTCCAGTCGCCCATTCAACCAATCAAAGTGTAATGTGCTAATTATGTGCTAAGGCCGCTCAATCTCTCGCTATGATGTGCACTGACCACCAGGGAGCAGACGCTCTGACTGGTAGGTTAGCTTGCTGCTACCAGTCAATCAGGACTGATTCAGCTGATCAGGACTGAGCAAGACGGGCCGGACATGCCCTGGAGCCCTCCTGTGGTCCCTCACCAGCTGGCCAACCCCCTGTGTCCCTCCCTGGCCCTGATCATGCACCAGTAGGGTCCCTCGGCCTGGCCTGTGTCCTCTCACAATCCAGGACCCCTCAGGGGGGCACATTGACTGTTAGGTAGTTCCATCTACAGTGGGGCCTTGACTTACGAGTTTAATTCGTTCTGTGACGGAGCTCATAACTCAAATTACTTGTATGTCAAATCACTGTGATGTTCGCTGCGCCAGCTAGCGGTGGGGTATCTGAAGCTGGCTCGTAACCCGAATTTTTTTGAGCTTGCAACTCAAAGCAAAAAATTGGCCGAGAGACAGCTCGTATCTCAAAAAAACTCATTAGTCAGGACACTCGTAAGTCAAGGCCCCACTGTATCTATATAATAAAAGCCTAAGCAACCATTACAGCAGAACGACCAGAACAACCAGAACGACTGGTCACTATGATGTGCACTGATCACCAGGGGGCAGATGCTCAATGCAGGAGCTGCCCCCTCGTGGTCAATGCACTCCCACAGGGGGAGTGCTGCTCTGCCAGAAGCTGAGCTCACAGCTGGTGAGCACAGCGGCGGTGGCAGGAGCCTCTCCAACCTCCATGGCAGCACTAAGGAACAGCAAGCTGAGCGGTAAGGAGCGAGCAGGTGGGTGGTAAGGAGCAAGGGGTCCCGGAATGCGAGAGGGCGAAGGCCAGCCTGAGGGATCTCCCCCCGCACACCGCCCCCAGTGCACAGATTTCATGCACTGGGCCTTTAGTTTAAAAATAACAAAGTGTATTGCATGTTGCCATAATAATTTATTTTATTATAGCTATATTTTCTTTTTTTAATATATTTTATTGATTTTTTACAGAGAGGAAGGGAGAGAGATAGAGAGTTAGAAACATCGATGAGAGAGAAACATCGATCAGCTGCCTCCTGCACATCTCCCACTGGGGATGTGCCCACAACCCAGGCACATGCCCCCGACCGGAATCGAACCTGGGACCCTTCAGTCCGCAGGCCGACGCTCCATCCACTGAGCCAAACCGGTTTCCGCAACATAGCTATATTTTCAAACAAACAATCATTGAGAAGGTGTTGTTTCACAATTTAATGCATGGTTTTAAAAAGATAGCTGGATTCTCCTGTCTGCATCTGCGTTTACTTGGCTATGATGTCAGATGTCATGGAGCCTCTGTGAAACTCACTGTACACTTGTAAGAGATTGAGAGTTAAAAAGCAAATGTCTTGGTATTATAGTGAAAATTTCCAAAGACTTATTGACCTCTCAGACCCTGCAAGGGAACCACCTTGAGAACTGCTGCCATAATATTCTCCTACAGGTACCAACCCACAGAGCTCTGTGGATTTTTCAACTCACTGAGTTAAATAAATCTGATACTTTTGTAAAGTGATACTACTATTGCTAAGAGAGATTTTTTCTTTTTTTTTTCTCTTTTAAATAAGTCTTAGAATCCATGAGAGAAAGATTTGGATTTTATAGCTCCTATTACACAAAAGTGAATTTTCTAGCTAGGATTATATGCTATTACATTTTCATTTTGCAAAATGTTCCTGGGCACTGAATGCATAGAGTGCAACTTTGGGTCTCCCTCACAGGGTTTCCTAGGGCTTTGGCAGGTTAGGGTAGGGACTGCCACCTTGAGTTCATATTTAAGCCCTCACTGTTGCCGGCATTAGCTTGCTTCTGTCCACCAAGATTAGCACTGTTTTTGAAATGGAGTGTTTGCATGGCCATTCTTATGCTTCCAGAGAGCCAGTCGCATTGCATGCAGGAGAGCTGGAAGACCCCTCGAGCTGCTTTGCATTCCCCTCTACAGGTGAGTTTCCAATGAAAGCACTGAAGCGGGCTGCTTAACACCCCACAGTGGCTCCCTATTTCCACGAGGACACAGATTAACACTGTTACAGTAGCCTGTACATTGCTGTGAAGTCTCTGGTCTCATTCCTGCTCTCCCCATTTTCCAAATCTGCTTCATCCATCCTTGAATTGTTCTTGAACATCCCAGGCAGCTTCTGGTCAGGGCCTTCCCACCACTGTTCCTCCACATTGCTAACCCCTCACCACCTTTGGAGCCTTTGCTCAAATGTCACTTTCCCAGTGAGACTCTCACAATCTTATTTAAAAATGTTACCCTCCCGCCGAAACCGGTTTGGCTCAGTGGATAGAGCGTCGGCCTGCGGACTGAAAGGTCCCAGGTTCGATTCCAGTCAAGGGCATGTACCTGGGTTGCGGGCACATCCCCAGTAGGAGATGTGCAGGAGGCAGCTGATCGATGTTTCTCTCTCATCGATGTTTCTAACTCTCTATCTCTCTCCCTTCCTCTCTGTAAAAAATCAATAAAATATATTTTTAAAAAAATGTTACCCTCCCATACTCCTAGAGCCCCTTATCTTTTCTTTTATTAGCTTGCACATATTTTAATATGCTATATAACTGACTAATTTATGTTGTTCATTGTGTGTCATTCCTGCTAGACAAAAGCTGCACAAGGGCAGATGTCTCTAAGAGTTCGGTTGCCTGATCTATCTCCCAGGCACTTAGAACCTCCCTGGCGCATAGCAGGTGCTGAATTAATACTTACAGCATTGATGAAAGGAAAAGGAGAAGAATTGGGACAGATGGTTCTCCATATAATTTCCGAAGACTTATAGACAAAATGTTCTTTATACCAGTAAATATAAGGAGATCGGGGAAGAGATTGAAAGATAACAGAATCTGTTGAAAAGCAAAACGGCATAACTGAGACTAAAAATGGAAAAGAAGCCCTGTCCAGTTTGCTAAGTGGTTAGAGCATCGGTCCACAGACCGAAGGGTTGCAGGTTTGATTCCTGGTCAAGGGCATGCAACTCGGTTGCAGATGCAATCCCAGGCCCCATTAGGGCGAATACAGGAAGCAATGTGTCTTTCTCACGTTGATGTTTCTTTCTCTCCCTCTCTCTCTCTCTCCCCCCATTTCCTCCTCCCCTTTCACTCAAAAATTCATTGGAAAAAATATCCTTGGGTGAGGATTAAAAAACAATAAAAATAAAAAAGGAAAAGAAAAAAAAATGGTACAAAGGAAAGCATTATTAAATATATATATATATATATATATATATATTACTGAAATCATACTCACAAACATGATAGACCCCCTAGAGAAAATTTACACAAAAGGAATATTTAACACTAAGAAAGATAAAAAGTAATTATAGAAAACATGTTAGATTTGGAAGGCAAGGGCAAATGGGCAAATAGACACATAATCGGTATTTCTATGAAAGACAACAAGATAAATGGGAAAAATTAAACTAAATGATGGTTATTCAACAAAAGTATAGCTGTAAATCTGGACAGTGATAATGTAAATAGGCAAAATTGAGATATGAGGTGAATGAGATATGAGAAAAGGTAAGCTTTTGAATTTTCTTTTATAGAGAAGTATATATAAAATCAAAATAAAATATTCTTTAATAAATACAAGCTCAATTTATAAATAATCTTTAACTTGTGATAAATCTTAAGAACTAATATTTGAAGAAAAAAGCATTTATTTGAAATTTAGCAATTTCTTTATGTTTGCTTCACTTATATGTTTTTATTATTGTTTTATGCAAGAGAATACAAGATATATCCTTGCCTTATTAGATTAATATAAATGAGTGCTTTTACCTTTTCTTATACATTTTGAGTACTTTAGAATACGTTAACTCCATTCACTGCTCTTCCAATTTATATTCAATTATTATCACATATTTTCATTATAAATGTAAATACCACAATGGATAACTTTTATGTTTTGTACGGTTAATATTCATTTAAATAAACCCACATAGTTACACTTTATCTTCTATCTAATATTATTTCACTTATGCCTTTAATGTTCCCTTTAATGTAAGTCTTCTGGGAACATATTTTCTCAGTTTCTGTTTTTCTGAACTTGTCTTTATGCTCATTTTTGAAGAATATCTTTTGCTGAGTATAGAATTCTAGGGTTGACATTTTTCCTTCACTTTGAAAATATTCCATTGTTTCTACGAAGAGATGAACTCTAAATTTATTGGTTGCTCATTTAAATGTAATTTGTCTTTTTTGCCCTTCTGGCAGCTTTAAGATTGTTTTTGTCTTTGTTTGTTTGCTTTTTAGCAGGTTTTATCGGTACGTTGAGATGTGGTTTTCTTTATATAGAAGAGCCTGTTTGGTTTGTGCAGTCATGCTGTGTGAATCATGCTGGTCTGTGCCTCCATTGTCCAGACCTGTGGGTTCTACCTCAAGCCCTGGGTGTCTACTAGGACAGCCTTTCTCCCTCCCCCCATCATTGGAAACATTTTCTCATGAAAGTTTGACTTGTTGAGAAGTGTGGCATACTATTTTTAATTAAATCTGTGCTTTTTCTTTTGTTCTTGCAAAATTTTAGTCAATCCATCTGTGAAAAATTCAGCTACTCGGTCATTCCATTCTTCTCCTAAGAAGTCTCCGGTTCACTCCCTCCTAACTAGTTCGGCTGAAGGTTCCATATGTTCCACATCTCCATACAGGTCGGCCAAAACGATCCATTCAGCTGACTCTGTTAAAGGTAAGAATCACCTGATATCACCGATGAGATTAATTGATTTCCCTGCTCTGGTAAACTGAAAGTTCCTTTTTATAATCAGAATAAGATTTTATTTGGTGTTCTTATATGCAAGTTCTGATAGCTAGCTGTGCAACTTAAGTGGGTCTGATTTAAATAATAGCTATTGTGTATACACATATGCACACACCCCTTAGTAAATATACATAGACATACGTAAATATTATCTCTTTCTTTCTCTGTCACAAATAATGATTTTTTCTATTTGTAATAAGATTTTGGGTCTTCTTTTCAATGTTGTGACTTCTCTTATTTACATTCTCTGAAATCCCAGCCCTCTTCTGTCCGTGCCTTTGTAAATGCAAGTGTCTATCATGCAAACTTTCCAGAATGTTCTCATTTTTTATTCTAAGTTCTTTTTGTGTGTGTGCTAAGACAGATGGGAAAATGTTTGATTTAGAATAAGTATCTGATAATCAGTGGATGTTCAATAAATAAATGTTGACTTGAACCTGAAGTGTTTTTCATCCTGTGTGACAGTGAGTCAGAGGACCCGGCTCTCGGGTATCATTCCCACTGACAAGGGGTACACTAGGCAAATTGTCGCATCAGAGACTAAGACTAAAATTAAAATCTTGAAATCGCCAATTGAGTATTTTTTAGAGATTGACAAAACTTAGCATCCTTATTAGAGAATAGCTTGCATGTACCTAGCCCAGTGATGGCGAACCTTTTGAGCTCGGCGTGTCAGCATTTTGAAAAACCCTAACTTAACTCTGGTGCCATGTCACATATAGAAATTTTTTGATATTTGCAACCATCATAAAACAAAGACTTATATTTTTGATATTTATTTTATATATTTAAATGCCATTTAACAAAGAAAAATCAACCAAAAAAATGAGTTCGCGTGTCACCTCTGACACGCGTGTCATAGGTTCGCCATCACTGACCTAGCCCCTCCTCAGTAACTCCTGCCACATTTATTCTCGGCTCACTGCGGCCAGGTGAGCATCCAGGCTGCCCTCTTCCATCTTATAACCACCCCCTCATTCAGGTGACAGCAGCTAAAATGCGCACTCGGCCTCACACACCTTCAGGAATGTCACCAGTGTCAGTATTGAATCTTGCTCTTCCAAACTCTAAGGTCATGGAACTCTAAGGTTTGTTATGAAAAGCTGTCATTTACAATGCAGAATATATCATTAAACAAAAAGTATTTCTCTCACTCATCCCATTTAATGCTGTGTAGTTAAATAAGAGTAAATCAGCTTGGTTTAAAACAAAATAAGTTAGCATTGCAGTGTTTAGATAAGACACTTCTTTATTTTAAAATAGGTTTTCATAGGTTAAGGTTTTCATTATTTGAAAGGAACAGTTGTTTAACCTGTAATTGAAAGATTTCTAAAATATATATTAAATAGATTTTTAATATCACATCTAAGCAATTTTCTAATAGCTTCACAGTCTCAGCCAATAGAAACCACAGGAAAAACATGCAGGAAGCTTCAGAACAGACTGGAAAGCTTGCAAACTCTGGTGGAAGATTTACAGTTGAAGAACCAAGGTACAGTGCACATTTGGCGAGATCTTCCTTGCTCAAAAGAATGCTCCCCTTCCCTGCAGGTGAAGCCTCCTATCTATTGACCCGCTGTAAAGCATCCTGAATAAGCAGTCTTAAGCAACATATAAGGGTCTGAACCCTGACCAACCCCTGGATTAATTGTGTGACCTTAGGCGGGTCACTGTAGTCCTGCTCTACTGTAGATAAGCATTTGTGTGGCAATAGCTAGGGTATGATTGCGGTCAGTAGCCAGAAAACAAACAGCAGTACACAGCCTACACAGGGCTTTGGGCAGCATGGACTGTACGCGACTCTGCCACAGGCTGCTCTGTCTGTGGAGCAGCCCTCTCTGTCTCACTGCTTCACTAATAACTTCCACCTTAAAGAAAGAGAGACTAGGCCACATAAAAAAAACAAACCACTTATAAATACCCTAAAGCTGTTTGGATGAGACGTTATTGTACTCTGCAAATCACAGGCAACACTTAGGCATACGTGCTAAGTGGATGCTCCTGTGCATAGGGGAGGATTTGCATATGTTCCCATGGGCTTGGGAGGGCTATCTCGCTCTATGCTTTTCTGACATAGATTCATGAATCCTGGAGCCTCTTTTCAGAGGGAAGTTCACTTTGAAGTATACAGGTTATTCTATCTTCTCAGCTCTAGAGAAGTAAGATGCAGATGAAGGATATTTTTCTAAGAACAAATCCTTATAAGATAAATTTAACTTTGTTAATCATTATCACTGCTATTAGCATTTATTGAGCATTTTCCAGCTCTGTGGCAGGCCCTGTTCCCAGAGCTTTACTGATGTTTTCTCCATGTGGCCCTCACAACAACTGGGACGTGGGCACTAATGTTACGTCACTTAAAACTACCAGTAAGATCACAGTCAATAAAGCCCAAGTCACATGAGCAGTAGAGCTGGGACTTCATCTCCGTAATTTCCAACTCCGAAATCCATGTTTTACCAAATTATTATGTAAAAAGGTTCCAGATCCCTTATAACAGGGGTCCTCAAACTTTTTAAACAGGGGGCCAGTTCACTGTCCCTCAGACCGTTGGAGGGCCGGACTATAGTTAAAAAAACAAACTATGAACAAATTCCTATGCACACAGCAGCTGCAAAAACACCCGGCGGGCCGGATAAATGTTTTCGGCGGGCCGCATGTGGCCCGCAGGCCGTAGTTTGAGGACCCCTGCCTTATAATGACACCAGACCCTGTGGGGATAAATATCAGAAAATGTTTGATTTTAAGTTATTGTGAGCTTTTCAAAGAAGATGCAGTATCTCCTTGGCTTCATTTTTAGCACGCTTTGATTGATACTACTGGGTTTATTTGAGTAATGCCACCATTTAATAGTTCAAATGAGAGACTTGTCGCATTTGTTTAAAAATATATAAAGACCTTTATATTGGATACATTGTCTGGATGGGATGTCTCTTGGAAATTATGAAACAAATATGTTTTAGAGAATTTGGGGAGCATTTGTCTAAAGTGCACATATGCCTTGGCCCAGAAATTCCATTTCTAACAATTTTTTCTATAAGAAGTAATTCTACAAATGCACTAAGGTTTGTTTACAAAAGTATTTCCTGTAACATTGTTTAAAAGCAAAACGAAGAAAGCAACTTTTAAAAATGTGTTTATTACCATATTGGTACATCCATATAATGGAATACTGTGCAGTCATAACAAATGTGAGCTGAACGGGGAAGATGTTAACATTTTGTTAAGTGAATAAAGCAAGCTACAGAACAAGTTATACTACATTTCCGTTTATGTAAAGAAGAAACTCGTGTGTGTGTGTGTGTGTGTGTGTGTGTGTGTGTGTGTACACAGGTATGCATGAAGATATTCACCAGACTGTTTACAGCGATGACCTCAAGGGAGTGGGCTCAACAGGTGAAGGGAGCAGAGACAAAGACTGACTTGCATCTCTGTACACTTCTGAGGTGTTCAGATTATTAACAATAGTATGCATTTCTTCTATCATAATAATTATCATGCTCATTAAAATATCTGAACTAGTAGAGACTTATCTTTAGCTCTGTTCCATAACATATGTTTTCAAAAATATACTACTTTGCATTTTTAAGAACTTCTTGAGCTCAGAATGCATGTATTCTACAGTAGCAAGCTGACCTTTTAAAAAGCACATAATAGAATTAAAGCCTCAGTAAATGTTGTTATTCTAACTTTGTTTTATCAACATTTTCAGCAATGTCTTCAATGATAAGAAATCAAGAAAAGAGAATACAGAAAGTGAAAGACCAGGAAAAAATGTTACTAAAGTGATACATTGCTTGCCTATTCTTTACAGAGATATGATGACAAATTAATTGTGGTGTTACTTATAAATAGTGCTCTGCAAACTTTTTTCTTTTTATGTGAAATTTTAATTAAAGATACCCTGTCTTGTAAACTCTATTTTGAAATAAACTATTCTTGAATGCTCTCCCAGTAAAACTTCAAGCAGTACTCACTAGTTGTGAAAGTATTCATAACTTAAAATGTATTACTTTGTGCTAGTGTGTTAGAATTATTATGCCTTTTTTCTCTCTCTCTCTCTCTCTTTTTTTTTTTTTTACTGGTGCTGAAGCAATAGTGTGTTTTTTTTCCAACTTAAAAAACAATATTTACATGGAAGTGAAAGATGTGGTATAATGCCCGGAACAGGGCAGACTCTGACACATGACAGGGATTCCAGCTGTGACCCTGAACTCTTTGTTCTATCATTATCAGTGGCTGTGATCAGACAACAAAATATTGGGCCCCTGATCAAAACTTCTGGAAAAGTTTCTCTTTTGCATATTAATAACTATAAAGAAAGAAGACACGTATTATTCTTCAGTTAGTAGGTAACTTCTACGGATTGAATGGGTTCAGTCTGCCTTAATTAGATTTTAACAAATTAGGGGTTTTGTATGTGGAGCGTTTCCTAACACCAATAACCAATTCTCTGTGGACACTGACTGACGTCCTCCGAGTCAGCTCAGTTCTGGCACTATCTGGAGTTAAGGTCAGCTTCTACAGACTTAAGGGCGCGGTCGCACAAGACTGCCTCCCAGTGCACGTGGCAATAGAAAGGCACAGACCACCGTACTTTTTGACTGACAGGTTATAAAGTGGGGGTTCCCACAACCTCCTCCCGAGTTTCAGTAATTTGCTAGAATGGGTCACAGAACTTAGGAAAGTGCTTTAGTTACTGTTACTGGTTTATCATAAAGGAAACAATTCAGGAACAACCAAGTGCCAGAGATGCATAGGGCAAGGGGTGCACCTGTGCATGAAGCGTCCACGCCCTCTCAGGGTGTGCCCCCTCCCAGCACTTCAGTGTGTTCACCCAAAAGCTCATTAAATCTCCTGACGGTCATGAGCCGCTTAACAGCAGGGATACATTCTGAGAAATGTGTTGTTTGTTGATTTCATCATTGTGCGAACATCATACACATGCATAAGAAGATATAGTCCACTACACACCTGTTATATGGTATAACTATTGCTACAAGCCTGTACGGTACGCTACTGTACTGAATACTTTAGGCAATTATAACACAACTAGAGGCCCGGTACACAAAAATTTGTGCACTCAGGGGAGTCCCTCAGCCCAGCCTATGCCCTCTTGCAGTGCGGGACCCCTCGAAGGATGTCCACCCCAGTGGGGACCCTCATCCCATGGAGGTTTGGCCAGCCTGGGTGAGGGGCTGATGGCTGTTTTCAGGCTGGCCACACCCCCTTTAGGGTGGGGGGTCCCCACTGGGGTGCCTGGCCAGTCTGGGTGAGGGGCTGAGGACTGTTTTCAGGCTGGCCAAGCACCCTGGTGACATAAGCTCCCAGCCTCTCCTTTTTTTCTTTTTTATTCTGAGATTTATTTACCTTCTATAATTGAAACTTCGTTGCCTTTAACGGAGGCCTACAGAAAGCTTGGCTTCCTCCATCGCCAGGGGCAACCCACTCCTGCTTGCTCCAGCTCAGTGGACACAGCTGGCTGAAAGCAGGTATCTGGGGTTTATTTACCTTCTATAATTGAAACTTTGTTGCTTTCAGTGGAGCTCAGAGCCTGGCCATGGCAGGCGGGGAAGCTTGGCTTCCTCCATCACTGGGGCAACCAAGCCGCCTGCTTGCTCCAGGTCCGTGGCTGCTGGCCGCCATCTTGGTTGGGTTAATTTGCATATAGACGCTCTGATTGGCTGGTGGGTATAGCTTAAGGCGTAGCAAAAGTACGGTCAATTTGCATGTTTGTCTTTTATTAGTATAGGATGGTAAGTACTTGTGTATCTAAAAATAGAAAAGGTATAGTGGAAATATGAAAACTATGATATAAAGATAAAAAGTGGTCACCTTGCCCTAACCAGTTTGGCTCAGTGGATAGAGTGTCGGCCTGTGGACTGAAAGGTCCCAGGTTCGATTCTGATCAAGGGCATGTACCTTGGTTGTGGGCACATCCCCAGTAGGAGGTGTGCAGGAGGCAGCTGATCGATGTTTCTCTCTTGTCGATGTTCCTAACTATCTCTTTCCCTTCCTCTCTGTAAAAAATCAATAAAATATATTTTTTTAAAAAAGTGGTCACCTGTGTAGAGCACTTATCATAAATTAGATGGAGTTTGCAGGACTGGAAGTTGCTCTAGGTGAGTCGGTGAGTGAGTGGGGAGTGAATGTGAAGTTCTAGGACTACTGTCCCCCATTGTAGACTTTATAAACCCTGTACACTTAGACTACACTAAAATTACAAAACAACATGAGAGTAAATCAAGCACAAGAGAAAATGATGCAATCAAGAGATTTAGTAAACATGAGATGAGGCTGCTGCCAGAGTAACAGAGCATACTCTTTTTCAGTGAACTTTTTTTTATAAGTAGAAAGAGTATGTTCTACAGTGATGATAACAAGTATAGTGTAGTAAATACATAAGCCAGTAACATAGTCGTCTATTATTGTTATCAAGTATTATGACTGTGCATAATTGTACGTGCTGTACTTTGATACGATTGGCAGCGTGGTGGGTTTGTTCACACCAGCATCACCGCAAGTACTTGAGTTATGCTATGATGTGAGGATGGCCACCACCTCACTAGGCGACAGGTATTTCTCAGTTCCATTATAATCCAGTTCCATTATAATCCAGTTCCATTATAATCCAGTTCATGGTTGACCAAATCATCTTTATGGGGCACTTTACTTATTCAAGGATTTTTAGAGCTCATTCTCCTGAGATTGGTGGGTGGGGCTGAAAGTTCCAAACCTCTAATCACTACTACTTTCTGGTGACCAGCTTCACCCCAGGGATATATAAGGGCTCCCCCATAAATCGCCTCATTAGCATAAACTCAGGTGTGATCACAGGGCCTCTCTGTGAATAACAAAAGACACTCCCTGGTCTCAAAAAATCCCAAGGGTTTAATGAGCTCAGTGCGAGGAACCTGGGACAAAGACTAAATATATTTATTATACCATATTATGCCACATGTGTGAACCAAACAAAATGAGACAAGTAGAACATATACAAAAATGTTCCAATTGTGCCAAAGACAGTAGGGACCATGTGGCAGGAGGCTGGCTGTCCCAGTCGGCACCTACTCCTTGCCTGGCACAGACCTCACTGAGAAACAGCTGCCCAGCTGGAGGCTGTCTCCCAGCCCCCTGCCCTCCACCACAGGCACCTTGCTTGCGGACAGAGCAGTATGCATCACTCTCTGGCCAAAAGTCCTAGTAAGCCTTCATGGTTTCATTTCATTTCCCCTTCGGTGGGCTGGCCACCGAGGACAGGGAGGCCCCAGGGGACAGTAGGTGACAGTCTCTACAAGAGCTGCCCTCCTGCCAGGAAAACCCAGTGCCCACTGCTTCGTGAGTAAGAAATAAACTTGCCACAGCCTTCTCGCAGGGATGGTGCCTGGGCAGGGCGGGTGCCAGCCTGTCCAGTGCAGGTAATAAACTAGTAGGGCATACGGACCCTCCCACACACACACACACACACACACACACACACACACACACTTAGTACTCTAAGCAATCAATTTTTAATAAAAATTTTAAAAATGAGTAGTATTGTAAGTATCTCTTAAAGCAATTGGATTTACTGGAAGATTAACTTTTATTTCATCAGGTAATGATAAAATGGCCAATAAGAGAACTCTAAAGATTTCTATTATAAATTGTTTTACCTTTAATTTTACCAAATAGAAATGCTTGGGCATTCAGGGCAGTAACAGAAGATGCCTCACTGGTAGAATGTTGACTTCATTATGACGTACACAGCAACTCAACATCATAATGCTATGAGCCAAAAAATCGGACATAGCTCTTTTAAGCACTTTCTGACACTATTTTCAGTTGGGTTTAAGCTTTTTTTCTGCAAAGATCATCTATAACCAAAATTAAACAATGTTTCACCAAAAGGTGTTAACACTTAAAGTTGTTTTAACATATAAGAGTTCATTTTCAAGTACAGGCATGCATACTATCCCTCTAAAGGTACAGTTTTACAAGAAATATTCTAAAACTGTGTCTCCAAAGGGAGGAGAAAAACAGACTTCTCTGTCTCCTGGTGTTTGCTTTTTCTCTTTGTTATTAATGAAGGAAAATATTAGTATTTTTATTTTTTTTAAATATATTTTTTTATTGATTTTATTTTACAGAGAGGAAGGGAGAGGGATAGAGAGTTAGAAATATCGATGAGAGAGAAACATCGATCAGCTGCCTCCTGCACACCCCCCACTGGAGATGTGCCCACAACCAAGGTACATGCCCTTGACCGGAATCGAACCTGAGACCTTTCAGTCCGCAGGCCGACGCTCTATCCACTGAGCCAAACCGGTTACGGCATATTTTTATATCAAAGCTATTATGGTACCAAGATTTAGACAAATAATCCAGACATTTAATAAATATATTAAAACTCTGGTTTTATTATTTTGGTTATAATAGCAAAGTTTGAATGCTTATTTCTTCTCAGAGCAAAGACACACTTCTCTCTCATTGGCCTGCTGCATTTGGTTACCCAAGACAGCCACTGATATGAAAGGAGAGGGGAGCAGGTGAAACCATTGCTGTGGGACAGCCCACCCCCCGGTTGGTCCTTGCCGTGGGCACAGATGGTTCCACAACAGCCCAGGAGTAAATGATGGGTGTGTCCCTCCCTGCAGTCAGGTGTGCCTACCTGTACCTCCCAGTGCTCTAAGAGCTAGCATTCAGGCCACCTGGCTAGCCCACACCTCAACCCCATTTCTGTTCCCTTTCCTCCTGGGCTGCTCTTGATGATGGACTCTGATTAGGCCCTTGTTTCTACACTAGCCTTTGATTACATGACAAAGACATACTTGCTACCTTCAAACCATACCAGGCAGGTAAAATCAAGCCAAAAACATTGGGAAATCTCATAACCTTCCTAATCACATCTAGTTGACCAGATGTTCAGAGTTCCATATGGTGGCAACTATTTTTAAACATAAAGTGTATAGTACATGTAGTGAAGAGCTCTTTCTCCAGCTGCACCACAAGGACATCAACTTGTTTCGCTCCCCTGCTTTAAGGATCACCCAAAGGCTCAAGCTTGAACCCTGTGCAGTGGTTAGCTTTTGTGCTCCCTGACCAAGCTTAGCCATGTCACTCCCCAAGGGGCCCAAGCCCTATAGTATTGATGGGTCAGCATAATCCATCCACCACGGCCACAGAAAAAGCCCACACTCACTGGAAGCATTATCCACGTACATATTTCTGCACATTAAACAAAAGCCACTAGCAAATCTGAAACAACTCGGCTAAACTTGGAGTTATACCTCCTTTATTTCCGATTATTGAGTGTGCTCCACAACCTGAGCCCCTTCCACATTCTACAACGGTTTCTTCAATCCCCTGCAAACCGCATCAGTGAACCCCCCAGCACTTGTGAACCAACGTATCCTCGCGGCCAACGTGCAGCAGCCTATTGCTGCATTCTTCCCAGCGAGTAACTTGCCCGTTCTCCACCACCACAAACTTCCACTCGACCACTGTATCTGCTGGCAGGGAGACAGAACGAGACCAGAGCCCCCCCGAGCTGTACTGGAGGGGGAGGTAAGTGGTCCATCTCCCAAGCCTCTCATGGTCTCCAGTGATGGCAATGAACTGCACCCTAGTGCTGGTGATATAATGGATCTGGAACCTGACACTAACTTGCTGAGACTCTGAAGTCATCATTACTATCCTTTTTGTCTTAACATCCACTTCCTGACCACTGGCTTCCACAAGACTGTTTCTGCCATAGTCCGCTCCCTGGTTCGGGCTTAATGTTGGAGCCTCAAGACTGCCACCCAAGCCAATATCCCCCCAAGACGAGTGCCTGGACACCATCTCCCAGTCCTCCGAGTCCTGTCTGTCCAGCTGGGCAAGGCTCACGTCTTCTTCACCTCTGTCCACGAGCAGGTTGCTAGAAGGCAGCGTCTCTGCCAAACATGGAATCGCGTTAGCAGGCATCTCTCGTCCTTTTTGGAATCCCCATTTTTCCATAAGAGATTCATGACTTTCACTGCCTGAAGCTTCTACGTGGCCTCCGATCGCAGATGTAGCTACAGATTGTGCGTCTGGAAACCATCCCAAAGGAGCATGCTGTCTTGAATTGTCATGGTCACCGTGTTCTCCAGGAGGACTCTGCATTCTCCACGCTGCTTCCTGCACGCTGCCGGGGCCTTTGGTCTCTGAAACCAAACACCCGTTGCTCTCTTGAAGATGCTCTATAAAGACAGAATGTAACAGTCAGTTCTCGTGAGAGGAAATGAAGTTGGGCTGGGGAAATAGGTTTAGTCATTGAAGATTTTACCACTCATCTATCTGCAGTTCACAAAATCTATCCCTATTAAAGTCAGGTACCTCATCACCTAGCTCAGACACTGACCCAATACGGTCTGTGTGCTAAGAATATGCATGTGTGCCCAACAATAAAAGGCACATCCAGGAGTGCCGAGGAAGTGGCAAGTGTACAGGCAGAAGAGTACAGTCCTCAACTTCCGAATTCCAGGCCATACTGGCGTGTACCCACGTCAGGTTGTTTGGCACCTGTCATCAGAAGACGTACAGCCTGTGGAGTGAAGGGCTGGATGGCTACCCTACAACCCGCAGAGTGCACTCGTGCTCTCAGGAACTGTGGGCAGCCCAGGGGCCAGCGCTCACAGATGCTGGCAGCTGCCGGTGGGAGAACACACAGGACAGCAGTGCCTCATGGGCAGGAGCTGGGGGGAGGGTGATAGAAGAGGGCTGTTCTCTTTGCCAACCCCATGTGCATCAGGAAGCTCTTCAACAAACCATTGGCTTTTTACATCCCCTCATACTCAATGCTTTTAAAAATGTTCTTAAAAGTACACAATCCAAGCTCTCTAAAGACTCAGTTTCCTTCTTGGTCACCTCCTTGATAGTCTAAATTGTTCCCTACAAGATCAAAATCTCCAGTCATACAATCATCCAAATGGGGTTTTTTTGTTGTTATTTTGTTTTAAGATTTATTTTTATTTTTTAATATATTTTTATTAATTTCAGAGAGGAAGGGAGAGGGAGAGAAAGATAGAAACATCAATGATGAGAGAGAATCATTGATCAGCTGCCTCCTGCACACCCCCAACTGGGGATCAGGATCAAGCCTGCAGCCCTGGCTTGTGCCCTTGACCGGAATCAAACCCGGGACCCTTCAGTCTGCAGGCCAACACTCTATCCACTGAGCCAACCCAGCTAGGGCTGTTTTAAGATTTTTAAAAATAGATTTTTATTTTTTTTATTATTATTTTTTTAAAGATATTTTATTGACTTTTTTTACAGAGAAGAAGGGAGAGGGATAGAGAGTTAGAAACATCAATGAGAGAGAAACATCGATCAGCTGCCTCCTGCACACCCCCTACTGGAGATGTGCCCGCAACCAAGGTACATGCCCCCGACCGGAATCGAACCCGGGACCCTTCAGTCCACAGGCCGACGCTCTATCCACTGAGCCAAACCGGCCAGGGCTAAAAATAGATTTTTAGAGAGAGAAGAAGGGAGAGGGAGAAGGGAGAGGGAGAGAAACATCAATGTGAGAGTGGAGCATCAACCAGCTGCCTCCTGCATGACCCCAATGGGACATGTGCCCTGACTGAGAATTGAACCAGCAACCTTTCGGGGCACTGGACAAAACCAAACCAACTGAACCACACTGGCCAGGGCACAGATGGGTTTTTTTTTGAGGGATATGGAAGGGTGTGAGGGAAAGTAGTCTTTAATTTTCTCTTTAATGGTGGGATTGGAAGACACAAACAAATATTATTGAATTCCCCGAATCTTTCAACCTGAAACATAGGATCAGATAAAGGAAAACGAGCTCTCTGCTCACCCAAACCAACGGCAGGAAGGCACAGGGGCAGACCTTCAAGTTCACAGATGTCATCACTGGCAGGCTGGAGAGGCCATGGCGACTTGCCCAGGAGACACTGGAAAGTAAGGTCTCTGCCAGTGCTCCTACTTCGCCTGGCATGCCCTCTCCAAAATGTGGAGATTTAACCCTGCATGGCCATTCTACTCATGGAGTCGGGTCCCCTATTCAGTGTCCTGTTTAAGTCCTTTCCCCCCGGGGTGAGGCAGCCCTGCGCTGTTGTGGTGAGCGTGGGGGAGGGCCCGCAGAGCCTTCGTGGCCAGAGTCCAACCTGAACTTTGCTTTCCAGACAGAAGCACCCAGATAGCGGGAGGTGCCCCCCCGCGGGTGTTCCCAAGCCCAGCTCTTCCACGGCGGCGTGAGGGTGGGAGGACCTGAGTCTGTGGGATTGAGACTGAGAACATGTCCCTGCTCCATCAGAGGTTGAAGAGGGTTGCATGGGTCCCCCAAACCTCCCACTCCTTTCCGAAGTCCGGGAGGGGCGCCGCCACTGCAGCCGCCCTCACTGCGCCTCGCGCCGCCGGGCAGAGCCCAGGCCCACGAGAGGGACAAGGGCAGGTCCTCAGGGTCGGTCCCTGGGGACAGAGGCGAGGCGGGGCGCCGTCCTAGGAGGAACCGCCGGGGCATCCTAAGGGGTTCGGGAGAAGGCGAGAAACCCGTGCGGTGCGTGCGCACCAGCCTGGGAACTACTGGGAGGGTCCTAGCCGGTGGGAAAGTTCGTCCCTGGAAATGAATGCTCCAGGTGGGCATGTTCCTCCCTCGGCGAATTTCAGAGCCCTTGGCAGATCTGCCCTGGAGACGCGGAGAGGAAGGCACAGCACCTGGTTTGGTGATCGGCTCCCGCCTGGAAGGTCCCGGGCTCAGTCCGCTGCCGCCACTCTGATCGCCTCCGGCCGACGCAGCCTTTCCCAGAGCGGCGTCCTTCTCCCGCTCCGCGTCCCCCTTATTTCCCTTGTCGCGCATCAGCCAGATGAACAGCGCTCCGGCCAGACCCCCTCCGACCAGCAGGGCGGACCAGACGGCGCCCATGGCTGCGAGGCCGCAGCTCGGGACACGAAGGCGACAGGGACCCGGGCTCGGTTCACGAACGCAAAGCCACACCTACCCGCGCGCTCCAGCCTTTTACGGTCCCCGTTGGCCGCACTCCGCGCGGAGCCCAGCCCTCTGCGCCTGAAACTTTCCCAGCCCCGCCCCCCGCCCCGCCCCGCCCCGGGGCTGCAGCCCCACGCTGTGGCTTGGCGGCTCGAGCGCTTTCCTTTCCGGCGTTCTGCATTTTCGACACCGCCAGTCGCCGGGTCGAGTGCTCCGGGTGCCCCGTTCCACGTGTGTTTCACACGCGTCAAGAATCCACGTGTGCACAGCCGCCGTGCGCAAAGCGGGTCCAGGTCCACCGCCTTCCCTTCTCACGCCGCTGCCCGCTAGGCCAGCCCTGCCTCGGCCAGCGCCCGGCGCCTCGGAGCCCGCTCCGCGTGGACACTCGCAGCGCGGCCAGCTGGAGGCGGGAGCTTCCCGGAACTTAGACACCGGAGAGGCCGAGGTGCGGTGACGCGCGGGACTGGGGCTCCGGCTGGAAAGGTAGCCCAGCGCGCGGGTGGGGTGAGCGGGGTGCACTGCAGGCGCATTGAGAGGAAACCCGGAGACATAGTGGAAGCTCTATTCGACCGCCAGTTGGGGCGCTTAGCCTCCCCAAGCCTCAGCTCAAAGGATTGGACTGAGAGCCATCCCTCTATAAATGCCAGTCATCTCAACCACTTCCAGTCGTTGCTGCTTCCTGGACCTCTTTTCCAGGTGTGTGGTTGTGGGAAACCGCCTATTGTCTTCTCTAGCAGAGAGGTGAGGACACGGAGCCGGGAAAGCTGGTGACCCTTGAAGCCCTGGCAAAGGTCAGGGCTATGCACCCACTGTTTAGTCCAGACAATGGTAGCTGAAGCAACTTCCCACCAGAGAGTCATGTAAATCCTTACTGATAAGATAGTCTGCCTGTTACTGGAACTTGGCTGCCTAAGGGCTATAGGTGGATCCCAAACTGAATAAAAGGATGGCGAGGTCTGAGCACAAGTGGAGTCCTCCCTCTTGGGATGGGCTCTCACCTGGCCCCCCAATTTCCAAATTATTATTTCTTGTCTCTTTCATTTGCATGCGGCCCCGCTTCCAGAGCCCAAACCCTGAACCACGCGGGAGGTGGACCATTCACATGTGGTTGTTGCAAAATGAGGTATGGACTGGTTGTTGCCCAGGGACAAGCTCCCACAGGTGGGCTTATTAATAAAAATAGAAGCCTTTGTTGATTGCTAATGTATGCATTCGATTTGATCCTCACAAACAATACCACCCTGTGAGCTAAGAATCATACACATTGTTTTGTTAAAAATCAAAATTCAATCTAGTAAATTTGAAGATCTAAACGGCTTTATTGAGTGACGTGTGAGTGGGGCAGCATCCCACCTATCAACTAGAAGGGCACTGGAGGGCGCTGTACAAAATGAAAGTGTCTCATAGGTAGGAGAGTGGGGCAAGGGAGCTATTATGGAAAGAAAGGGAGGATTTGGCGGCTGGGACATCTTTTGGGGGGAAGAGTTTTTATTATGTAAATTGCCTCTCCTTTCCATGGGGGATAAAGCAGGCCCATGTGACAGATTACTTCACTGCTTGACCAGAAAATTCCACAGGGGTGGTGAAGATTGTTTCTGGCCCTAGCCGGTTTGGCTCAGTGGACAGAACGGACTGAAGGGTCCCCCATTCGGTCAAGGGCATTAGCTCGGTTGCAGGCTCCTCCCCAGCCAGGGGCCTGGTCGGGGCCCATGTGCAGGAGGCAACCAATCGATGTGTTTCTCTCATATCCATGTTTCTATCTTCCTCTAAAAATCAATGGAAAAAAATATCCTTGGGTGAGGATAAAAAAAAAAAAAGATTATGTTTCTGGGAGAAGTTAAAACTGCAGTAAGATCAGGATTTAAATCTACGTTTGGCATTGCGGGCTTTTAGTAAGAGTGATGCCATTTGGGGCTTGTAAGTTTTTTTTCTTTAACACTTTCTAAGTTCACTCTTCTGCTGATCTGATGGTTTCACACACCAGCTTCAAGCTGATGATGCCCCACATTTGTATCTGCAGGGTGAGACTTTCCTTTGAACTACACACTCTCACAACCAACTGCTAAAGACCACAGCTGGCCAATAGAGGCCTTGGAATAATTACTAAAATGGCTTCCTCTGGTAAAACGAATGGCTCAAATGTGATCCATACACGATCACATAGCAATCAGTAATGGAATGCAAGGCTCAGCCAGTGGAGTTACTGGAGGGCTGGTGCATACCTTCATATAGGTTACAGCCTCTGAAATTATAAGGGAGTGGGGAGGAAGGGGAAGGTGGGAAGGAGAACACCAACTGGGAATTCCCTCCTGGATGATAATAGACAATTCAAACCCAATTCACTCAAATCTGAACTCCTGATCTTCCTGCCCAAACCTGCTACTTGCCCTGTCTTCCCATCTCAGGAAATGGTAACCACATCCCTTCCCATTGCTGAAAAAACATCAAGAGTCGTCCTTAACTCTCCTTTTATTCCCTATTGAAGTAGCCACTCTTTCCTCTAAATATATTCAGAATTCTACTCCTCTCCATAGCAAATGCCACGCTAGTCTGCCACCATCATCTCTCACCTGGATTATTGCCACCATTTCTCATTGCTCTCCCTGCTTCTACCCTTGAGCCCCTGCTGCTACTGGCTACTTCCAAAGCCTCAGCCAGAATGAGGATATCCTATTAAAACAACTCTCATCATATACTTCTCTGCCCAAGACCCTCCAATTGCTCTATACCTCATGGCAAAAACCTCTAGATCTACAGGATCTGTCCCCTGAGACCTCTCTGAGCTCATATTCACCTGTCCCTCCTCCAGCGACACTGGTTTCCTGGACCAGAGTCATCCTTCCTGCAAATATCCATCCAGATGTCTACCCTCTCTCCCTCACATCCTTTGCACAGGTGCCATCTGCTCTGTGAGCCCTTCCCTGATAATCCAATTTTAATTACAACCCACTACTCCTTAGCATTTAGGGCAGTGGTTCTCAACCTTCCCAATGGCGCAACCCTTTAATACAGTTCCTCATGTTGTGGTGACCCCCAATTTCATTGTTACAAATTGAACATAATTAAAGCATAGTGATTAATCACAAAAACAATATGTAATTATATATGTGTTTCTGATGGTCTTAAGGCGACCCCTGTGAAAGGGTCGTTCGACCTCCAAAGGGGTCTCGACCCACAGGTTGAGAACCTCTGATTTAGGGCATCACTTCCAATACACTGTTTAATCCGTGGATTTGTTCTGTTTAATTTGTCTTTCTTCTCTTTAGGATGTAAACTACATGAAAGCAGGGTTTATTGTCCTTTGCCGAATTCCCAGCTCTTAGAACATTCCTGGACCCTCAAAGGGGCAGATTGAGTGAATGCATTAAAAGTTCCATGTTTTCCCTGTCCGGAGCATTATTGTCATCTTCTTTCTATAGATTCTATATGCATTTTTAATACAGTGTAGATGTTTGTCAAGGTTTCATGTTTTAAATTAATTAGGGATTCAATGATAAACTTTTTAAAGACCTCTAAAGTTTAAGACCACTGACAGCCACCCATACATCTCACTTCAGCCAGCCTTAAGATAACAAAACCAATTTTGAGATGAGTATGGAAATAGTGAGGTGGTAGTAAAGCCATATTTTTAAGAAAATGAATGTCACTGTGGAAAACAACATTCTCTTTGTGGACTCTGTCTTTTATGGACTCTACCTCTATTATGGAACCTGACTTACTAACTGCTGCTTAAATTTAAAGCTATTATAGATCTAATGTTTAGAATAAGAACTTCATAGAAAAATTTAGATTTGTTCTATATTATTGTCAAACTAAAAACTTGATGCCATAGGGTCAAGGTATGTGTCCCTGACCAGAATCAAACCCGTGACCCTTCAGTCCACAGCCCAATGCTCTGTCCACTGAGCCAAAATGTCTAGGGTACCTTTGCATAATTTCAAGAAGAAAGATTGGAAAGTTACTTCCATGTTGCTAGTTAAATTGCAGTTATGTCTTGCATAATATTTTAGGAGCCATAATGTAGTGCCCGTGTTCTGATTATTATTCTATTAAATATATTATAAATAAATAAAGATATGGATGAATTTTTAAGCTATATATTTATGTATTCTTCTTCCTCTTTAACCTCATGCAAGAAAAGATTGCTCACTCCTGGTGTAGTAGAGTGATGAGGACACAACACTGAAAAGCAGCTTTGTTTGCAGATCCACAGCCATTAAAGAGGGTGGGAAGGAAGAGTTAGGGAAAAGAGAGAATTGGAACACTTGTTTCCAGAGTCAGGTAGAGAAGGTGGTGGGAAGTGGGGAATTGGTGTGTCACTCAACAGCATTTAAATGGATAGAACACTGAGAGATTTGGTCTTGCCAAAGAAGAGGTCATTGGTAACTCTGCAGTGTTTGTAGGGGTGGGAGTTCAATTTCAGAATGCTGAGGTGTAAATGTGGGGAAGGCTGTGAAGTCCATCTTTGAGTTACCTTCCTTGAGAAGTCTGGAAGCAAAAGGTAGGAGAGAAGTTGAAGTGTTGCTTAAGAATAGAACAAAGGTTCGATTCCAGTCAAGGGCATGCACCTTGGTTGCGGGCACATCCCCAGTAGGGGGTGTGCAGGAGGCAGCTGATGGATGTTTCTCTCTCATCGATGTTTCTAACTCTCTATCCCCTCCCTTCCTCTCTGTAAAAAAATCAATAAAATATATATATTTTTTAAAAAATGAATAGAACAAAGCTCAAGAGAAGTTCTTTCAGAGGGAGAGCGATCTGGGCATGTGTGTAGGCAGGAAAGAGCCTGTGGAGACAGAGCGTGAAGATGCGAGAAGAGAGGAAACACTTTCTGGGAAGTCCATAAGGGAGAGGAAGCGATGGATCAGCACACCAGTGGAAGGGTTGCCTCAGATGAAAGAGGAAAGGAGACGAGAAAGGCATTAGGATTGAGTTTTAAGGAAAGCAGAGGGGGTAGGCAACAGCCAACTGGGAGAAGAGGTGCCCTTTGGGAGACCTCTCCCTCC